ATGTATATATATATATATATATGTGTGTGTGTGTGTGTGTGTGTGTGTGTGTGTGTGTGTGTGTGTTTTATAAAACACCTGTAACTGAACTTGAACATGATCTCATATCAGCACAGAGTTTAAGGCGGTTAGTGATTTTATGATTATTATCACACCACTCGTCTTTCTGTGATCTGGTTTGGATCAGCTCTGTTGGAGACGCGATGAGGACCTGAAAGGAGTCATTTAGAAGGTTTATTCACACAGAGGGTTGATGACCCGGTGGATGGGGCCTTGGGAATGCTGACAGGTGGACCAACCAGGTGAGGCGTTAGCATACCTGCACTTTGAGCTCCAGAAGTTCTTTACTATACAAATATTTTCTGACATGCCTTTGAGTTTTTAGCCATTTCTGATTTAAAAACAAACCAAAAAGCAAAGTGCATCTTCTAGATTGTAATAATTCTGTGTTTAATATGCATATTTTTATAGCTATACACACTGTGTTGCATTTTAGCTGCGAGAAGTTTAGTTTTTTTTTCCTGAAATGACAGATCCTTGAAGATTGTTTTCAGCGATTTTTTTTACACAGTCTCAGTTATTTTGTTTATAAGTTATTCTTTACATTTTGCAGGAGTGAAAATGCTGAACTCTGAATGTAGCACTCCTAAATGCACCCTATAACAGGCTCTGTTTTAGTTAAATTGTACTCTGGCATATTGTGGAGATGCATATAATTTGCTCATTTGTTCTATCTTTGGTCATTTAATGATATTGCTCACACTAACCCAAAACAACCTTTACATCAGTAAATCAGACAAAAGTTATATTAGTTCAACAAGAGTGAATTGTGATGCCTAACCCTAACCCTAACACAGTCAGGACAGACAGACCGACAGGGTTTATTTAGATGGAATACAGGCGTCCATCTAATAAATGATTTTTTTGTGTAGAGATGAAGCCTGGCAGGCCTTCTGGGGGGTCCCAGTGGTCCCAGTCCCTGGGGGCCTTTCAGGGGAGAGTATTTACAGTCTGAGGATTTAAAAACATGGTCATTAAAAAGGCTAAAAGGCTCTGGGTGAGAGTCCTGCCACCAGAGAAGAGGACCAGCAGGAATCTGCCCCCCCTCTGGCTCCGGGACGCGTTTCTGCCAGCGCGCGGTGATGAATCAGGCGGAATAAAGCCTAATTAAAACCGATCAATTACCCACCCGCACGTCCTCACGCGCGCTCACAGATAAGAGCCGGAAACAATGCAGGCCCATAAAGGTGCG